TGTGTGTGTAGGTACATTTTTCTTGGTGACCAAAGCTATAATCAACTCATAAGAAGGGTCTGTGCCCTCTAAATGTTATCTCACCCACCCAGCTGATTGATCTCTCATCCCTCCTTTCCAAAAGTGAATTTCCCATCCTTTAGAGAGGCCTCTCTTGGACATTCCCTCCTCTGTATCTTTCTCATGGAACGACGTCCCTTCCTGCCCTCTGTGCCATTCCAAATGGTTATGGCTACTACAGCCGACATTCACCATGTGCCAGACAGACCCACCAAACCATCACAAGGGCCGGATGATAGAGGGGCCAGTGAGACCCCCCACCTCCTCTATTTGATGGACAGGGACACAGAGGCACAGATAAGCTAAATGGCCTGCCTACCAGGCAGAGCTGGGACTCAAACCCAGGAGGAAAGGTACTGCACGGTGCATGGACTGGAGGTGAGAGTAGAAGCAGAGAGCTGGCCTCAGGCTTTCTCAGCCCTGGCCACCCCGCCTGGGGAACTCTCAACAACGCAGCCTCCCTTGCCTGTTCAAGCAGACTCTCTGGGGCAGGACCCAGACCCTGGGGCTTTCTTGAAGTCCCCAAAGGGTTCTAGGAGTAGTAGGACTTAAGAGTGCCACCTGGAGTGTAGTGTTCCGGTATGTATGTATTTGAGAAGCTCTTTGCCCCCACACCACATTTTTTGCCAGCTTCTTTTTCTTTTAAAGCAGTTTTCAAAATAATAAAGCATCCTCCAAAAGTGACCAAAGAAGTTTTTATTTTAAGTATCATTTTGAATTCATGGATTTTTACCTTAGTTGATGCATTCCAATCCATTGTAGCTGTAAGAAGCCCAAGCGGTCCCAGGAGGGACCCAAGTTTGGCCAACAGGAGCCTGCTGATTCCTTTTGGCCGGACCCGAGGAGGCTTTGGAAGTTTTCTCACTGTCTGGTGTGGTAACATCCAGGCTCAACCTCCCTCTCCAAACCTGGGGTCAGCCCTTTCTTCCTGGACTCCAATCTGGGTGTTGTTACCCCAGTTCTCATATTCTAGTTTTAACAAACTTTCTGAAACATGAAGGAGCTCTTCATGTTCTAGAGAAGAATAGGTTTTAAAAACCTATCGTTGGCCGGGCGGGGTGGCTCAAGCCTGTAATCCCAGCACTTTGGGAGGCCGAGACGGGCGGATCACAAGGTCAGGAGATCGAGACCATCCTGGCTAACACGGTGAAACTCCGTCTCTACTAAAAAAATATGAAAAACTAGCCGGGCGCGGTGGCGGGCGCCTGTAGTCCCAGCTACTCGGGAGGCTGAGGCAGGAGAATGGCGGGACCCGGGAGGCGGAGCTTGCAGTGAGCTGAGATCCGGCCACTGCACTCCAGCCTGGGCAGACAGAGTGAGACTCCGTCTAAAAAAAAAAAAAAAAAAAAAAAAAAAAAAAAAAAAAACCTATCGTTAAGCTCCATCTTTCCTTAAGATGTCCTTTCAAGTTTCCGTTCAGCCTTTTGGAAAATTTGTATATGACTGTGTGTGTTTGCTTATAAGAAAAGGATCTGCCAAAGGTGTGCTTGAAATCTACTTGCTCTAAAGGGCTCACTGTAATCAAATATTTCTCCACGTTGAGGGCCAGCCCCAACCATTGAAAAATATCTCCTGCTCTGAGGAAATACAAAAATAAACATTAAAATGGGAAAGCAGTTTAGGCCACCAGGAAATTTGGAAAGCCAAATGTGAGCTTTAAGAAAAAGTAAAAACAAACACTCAAAGTTTTCACAACTATAAGGAATCCAAGCTACACTACTTGAGACAGAAATGAGATCACGAACTCCACCGGGTTTAAATCCACCTGCAGCCCTTGGCTCTGGTCCCTCCTACTGTTCAGGAGGTAGAGGGGTGTGGAAATAAGAAAGTGAGTGACTTTCTTCTGCAGAACATTGATTCTGCAACACTGAAGCCATTGCAGGAAGGTTCCCGCGATGTCTGAGTAGATTCCCAAATGCTCAGAGGTCCCCTGGCCTGTTGTGAAAGGCAGGACAGGGATCCCTAAGCCGTAGCTGGAACCCAGAGAGAGGAGGCCGCTGATGGGCTCCCTGAGACTGCAGGTATGATATCCCCATCAAGGCCCTTAATGCCCCAGGCAGAACTTGGCTGAGGCTCTAGCAGGCCACCCTCTGGCACATTCTAGGAGCCTCCACCTGGCCCTGCCTTTGGCCTTGAAATCTGGTTTTTGGGGCAAGAACCACAAGTGTCCTACACCATGTCCTAGTCCCACCACGCACTGCCTGTGTGACCTCAGGCCCCAGTCCCCTCTGGTACAGTATTACCTCATGGACTGTGGCAAAGATTAAACATGAGAATGTAAGTAACATGCATGACTGTGTCTGGCCAAGGAAGCTGCTGATGGCAAGAGGGGGACCAGGACCCGTCTGCAGGCACTGACTGGCAAGACGCGGCTGAGGTTCCCTTGCTGTCCCCATGCCTGGCACAGACGAGCTGGCAGTAAGCAGTGGAAGGTATCAAATGGTAGTTCTCTGGTCTTTCCAAGGGAGTTAGAATTGCTGTGTGGACTAAATGAGGCAGTCTGAGTGAATGCATTTAAAAAACTGTAAAGTACCTGGTGAATCACTAATAACCAGCATTGTTCATGTGCCAGCATTTTAATGCACTTCTCATAGCTTCTTAGCAAGTGCCTTAAAGCTGAGCCCTGGTACCTTTCTGAAGCATCAGCAGCCCTTGTCACTGGAATTGACACGCAACAGCACAGTTGAGGGGGAGCCAGAGGACGGCGGCTCCCATCCCTCCCGCCCCCTCCCTAGGACAAGCAGGCCTTGACTCATTCTCCGGCAGTCTCAGACCAGCCTAAGATTTCCAAAATTCACTTGGATTTTGACTGTTAAGGGGGAATTTGCTCCCAGAACTGGTGCTTTAAGAGGCACCAGGCTGCTGGAGCTGTTTTCCAGCCTGTAAAGCTGTGATTGTATTCCTTGCTGAGGAGTCTCTGCCTTGTGGTCAACTTCCTATTCTATTCTAGCTTCTCATCTCCTTTTCCCCTTTTCTCCTTAAGAGCCCAAGAATGCTCCATAAATTCAAAGACAACAGCTGACAACAGCAAGGGGAAGCCTCAGAAAGTAAAGGGTGACATATCTATGTCTATGTATTGGCCAGTTGTAATATAAGAATTGCTGGTCCCAGAAAGCTAGGGATATAGTTTGGAAAGCAGAACTCAAGTTGTATATCTTTTGGCTGAGCTATAGACAAGGGCTTGAAGACAGGGCACAGTGGCTCATGCCTGTAATCTCAGCACTTTGGGAGGCCAAGGCAAGAGGATTGCTTGAGGCCAGGGGTTTATGACCAGCCTGGGCAACAAAGCAAGCCCCTGTCTCTACAAAAAAATAAAATAAAAATTGGCCAGGTGTGGTAGTATGTACCTGTAGTCCTAGCTACTTAGGAGGCTGAGGTAGGAGGATCATTTGATCTCAGGAGTTGGAGGCTGCAGTGAGCCATGATTGCACCTCTGCACTCCAGCCTGAGTGACAGAGAGAGACTCCCTCATGAAAAAAAAGTGAGTGAAGTTGTTTGGTCTAGAAAGTTTCTGATACATCTTTCAGAACTGAGCTACCTCCACAGACATGATCTCCCAGTCAAAATTCACTAAACATAAGAGGAAACAAGTGAACAAGAATAGAAGTTAATGGAAGCCACAAACTGCAGAATCAAGCTGTTAAGGCCAAGTGAATGGAATTTTCAGATATTAAATGTAGAATGAACACTAAGCAGGAGTAATAAAAAGATATCCACAACTTGACACATGGTATCACTGTTTCACAAACTGCAGAATGCCAAAGACTGAGTGAAGACTAAATACAGCCAAATAAGGAAGACAGATTCCTACAAAGCAAGAGTTCACCTGACAGCTGACCTTTCAGCAGCAACCATGGAAGCCAAAACACAACAGAAGCATATGGGAAATATACAACATGGCGGAAATATATCTCGAAAGTGCGGAGAGAAAAATAATTGTCAGGGGAAATTTAAGGACGTTTTCTAATAAATCAAACTGACTACTACCCACTGACCTTCACTAAAGAGATTACTAAAGGGTGCACTCCAGGAAGAAGGAAAATTATCTCAGGAGGAAAATCTTGGATGCAAGAATATCTTCATGACTCAAAATAGAGAACAATTTCTCAAACTTGATAAAAACATAGTCAATAAAGGAAAAGACTGACATATTCAACTGCCTTAAAATTACAGGCTTAGTTAATCAAAGGAAACCATAAAGTATGTGAATGCTAGCAGAATATATTTGCAATGTTTATGACAGTCCATGAAATCCACACCATTAGCAAGAATTCCTATGAATCAATAAGAAAAAGAAAAATCTATTTTAAAATATTTAACTGATTAAAAAAATAAAAAACTTTACAGAGGAAGAAATATTAGTGGCTAACAAATACACAAAAATAAGCTCTATCTCATTAGTAATTCCACAGTGTCAGTGAGCAACAGGGAATGTCCCACAGCATGGTGTGAGGTTAATTGGGTGAGGGGATGTGGTCCACTGAGAACTCCAGGTCCTTTTAAAGAGACAGTCACAACTCATTTCAGCCTACTCTGGCTTGAGAAATGGGTACCCTGTGGCCAGAACCACAGATTTCTAAAGAAATGTCCCAAATCTGGATTTTCCATGTGAAATATCCTGTTTTAAACATTGGGAACTTATTCAGAATTGTTTAAAAGTGTGTATGCCAGTACTGCTTGAGCCAAAAGACACATTCACAGGCCAGACTTGGCTGAGTCCCTCTGTTTGTGACCTCTGCATTAACCCCTTGAATTTTCTAACAATCAGACCTGACTTTACCGTGACTCAGAGGGGCCAGGCTTCCTTCCCCATTTCCCTCTTGGTTCCCTCCTAATTTCACCTGAACTTGTAGCTAGACACAGAAAAGAGATGCTCTGCAAAGGGAAACATGCTCCATACTAGCTAATGAAGCCCCTTCTTTTATGCTTTTATCTTCCAGATATTTGGGTTCTTGGTCTGGACCCTGGTAGCTGCCACCCACGTAGTATTCCCATTGCTGCAAGGATGGGTGATGTATGTCTCACTCACCTCGTTTCTCATCTCCTTGATGTTCCTGTTGTCTTACTTGCTTGGATTTTACAACAGATTTGAATCCTGGAGAGTTCTGGTAAGAAGCAGCAGCATGGCTCCTCCTGGGTGGATGTCCTGGGTTGGGTGAGGACAATTGGCCTTTCTGGGCAGGGAGGGATCTTGGGCTAGGCGTCTATGGAACCAAGACATTTTATCTTAGTATGTTACTACCAGGCCAAAATGAAGACATTTCTCTGCAAGAGTAAATCATTCCTTGTATTCCCCTTCACTGCCTTCCCTGTTAGGAGAACACACAATGCCCTGTGATCAAGCATATTCTGATGTGTTTCCCTTAAATTTTCTTCCTGGTAAAATCCTTGGAGCAACACTGAAGAAAATGCTAGTAGGAAAAAATCAGTCCCATCTCAAGGCTCTATCACAATCCCTGTGACAGGTTATTTCTTCCATATTCCACATGAATTATATGCAAAGTATACACACACACACACACACACATATACACACATATTTATATAAATTATACTCTACAAATAATTTTGGATGTAGATGCTTTCATTTAATATTACGTCACTAATTTTTATGTTATCGCGTAATCTCAAAAAACCATTTAAAAGTGTTTCATACCGAACAATTGAAGACATATTTAAAAGTGCAGAATATTGTATTATAGGCCCTCATGTAGCCATAACCCATATTGCAGCATTATCAAGACCTTACCGCATTTGTTTCATCTAGCCTTTTTCCCCACTAAGGAATTTTAAAGCAAACCCCAAACATCATGCCATTCTATTCCACACACTTCAGTATGTTTCCAAGAAAACCCGCCAACTTTCTCACATTATCACATGTATACAAAGTAAACAATTCCTCAGCATACCTAAGACAGCATACAGTGGTCCCCCTATCTCTGGAGGACAAGTCCCAAGACCCCTAAGGGAAACCTGAATCCTCAGATAGTACTGAACCCCGATTATGCTATGCATGCACTTCTTTTTTCTTCTTCACAATTTCACAGATAGACAATTCATTCTTACTGTAGATCTTAACAACCTCAGCATATTTTTTTCTTTCCTTATTAAATTGAAAACTTATACTTTTTAGCTTAAAGAAAGCGCTCTATGACTTCTCTTTGGCATATCCAAATTGCCAGCATCACTACTCTTGCAATTTGGGGCCATTATGAAGTAAAATAAGGATTCTTTGAATGCAAGCACTGCAATGACACAACAGTTGATCTGATAGCCGAGATGGGTACAAAGTGACTAACATAGGTGGCATAGACAGTGTAGACATGCTGAACAAAGGTCTGATTCACATCCCAGGTGGAACAGGGTGGGACAGTGCAAGATTTCATCATTATACTCAGAAAGGCACTCTCTTAATTGTTAATTTCTGGAATTTTTCATTTAATATTTCAGACCAAGATTGACTTGGGTAACTGAAATATACTGATCTTTATTAATCTGCCATTGCTTATGACATAGATATTACATTTAAAACACTATGTATTAGTCTATTCTCACATTGCTATAAACAACTACTTGAGACTGGGTAAATTATAAAGAAAAGAGGTTTATTTGACTCATAGTTCCTCATGGTTAGGGAGGTCTCAGGAAACTTCCAATCATGGTGGAAGGTGAAGGGTAAGCAAGGCATACCTTGCATGGCAGCAGGAGAGAGAGGGGAGGGGGAGGTGCCATACTTTTAAACCATCAGAATCCATGAGAACTCATTCACTATCATGAGAACAGCACAGGGGAAACTGCCCCCATGATCCAATCACCTCCCACCAGGTCCCTCCCTTGATACATGTGGATTACAATTGGAGATGAGATTTGGGTGGGGACAAAGAGCCAAACAATATCATTATACCCCTGCCTCTCCCAAATCTCATGTCCTTCTCACATTTAAAAATACAATCATGCCTTCCCAACAGTCACCCAAAGTTTCAACTTATTCCAGCATTAACCCAAAAGTCTAAGTCCAAAGTCTCATCTAAGACAAGGGAAGTCTTGTCTGCCTATGAGCCCGTAAAATCAAAAAGCAAGTTAGTTACTTCCAAGACACAATAAGGGTACAAGCATTGCATAAATGCTCCCATTACAAATGGGAGAAATTGGTCAAAACAAAGGGGCTACACGGCCTATGCAAATCCTAAACCCAGCAGGGCAGCCATTAAATGTCAGCACTCCAAAATCTCCTTTGACTTCATGTCTCACTTTCAAGTCACACTGTTGCAAAGAGTGGGCACCCAAGGCCTTGGGCAGTTCCATCCCTGTGGCTCTTCACAGTACAGCCCCTGCAGTTGCTTTCACAAACTGGCATTGAGTGTCTGTGGCTTTTCAAGGTACCTGATGCAAACTGTCAGTGGATCTACCACTCTGGGGTCTGAAGGATGGTGGCCCTCTTCTCACAGCTCTACTAGCCTGTGCCGCAGTGGGGACTCTGTGTAGGGGCTCCAACCCCACATTTCCCTTCTGCACTGCCCTAGTAGAGGTTCTTCATAAGGGCTCCACCCCTGCAGCAGATTCTGCCTGCACATCTATGCATTTCCATACATCCTCTGAAATCATGGCAGAGATTCCTAAACCTCAATTCTTGCCTTCTGCATGCCTGTAGGCCCAACACCATGTGTAAGCTGCCAAGGCTTTGGGCTTATCCCTCTGAAGCAATGGCCTGAGCTGTACCTTGGCGCCCACTGCTGGAGCTGGGGCAGCTGGGTTGCAGGGTGCTGTGTTCCAGGACTGCACAGAGCAACAGGACTCTGAGCCTGGCCCACAAAACCATTTTTCCCTCCTAGGTCTCTGAGCCTGTGATGGGAGGGGCTGCTGTGAAGATCTCTGAAATGCCCTAGAGATATTTTCCCCATTGTCTTGGGGCCCCTCATTACTTATGAAAATTTCTGCAACTGACAGCTTGAAATTTTCCCCAGAAAATATGTTTTTCTTTTCTACCTGGTCAGGCTGCAAATTTTCCAAACTTTTATGTCCTGCTTCCCTTTTAAACGTAAGTTCCAGTTTTGGACCATCTCTTTGTGAATGCATATGATTGTACATTTTCAGGAAAAGTCAGGTCACATCTTGAATGCTTTACTGCTTAGAAATTTCTTCTGCTAGATACCCCAAATCATCTCTTTTAAGTTCAAAGTGCCGCAGATCTCTAGGACAGGGGTAAAATGCCACCAGTCTCTTTGCTAAAGTATAGCAAGAGTGACCTTTATTCTAGTTCCCAATAAGTTCCTCATCTCCATCTGAGACCACCTCAGCCTGGATTTCATTGTCCACATCACTATCAGCATTTTGGTCAAAATCATTCAACAAGTCTCTAGGAAGTTCCAAACTTTCACACATCTTCCTGTCTGCTTCTGAGTACTCCAAACTGTTGCAACCTCTGTCCATTATCCAGTTCCAAAGTTGCTTCCACATTTTCAGGTATCTTTATAGCAGTGCCTGACTCCGGTACCAATTTTTTGTATGTGTCCGTTCTCACACTGCTATAAAGAACTACCTGAGACTGGGTAATATATAAGGAAAAGAGGTTTAATTGGCTCACAGTTCTGCATGGCTAGGGAGAACTCACAAAACTTACAATCATGGTAGAAGGCGAAGAGGAAGCAAGGCATGCCTTACACGGCAGCAGAAGAGAGTAGGAGAGGGAAAGTGTCACACTTTTACACTATCAGATCTTATGAGAACTCCCTCACTATCACGAGAACAGCATGGGGAAACTGCTCCCATGATCCAATCATCTCCCAGCAGGTCCCTCCCTCAACACGTGGGGATTACAATTCGAGATGAGATTTGGGTGGGGACACAGAGCCAAACCAAATCACACTGCAAACAAACAAACAAACAAACAAACAAACAAAAAGCAGGAGTCTAGGGGAGCTGGCCTGCCTCATTTGCTCATTCTTTATAGCTATGTAGTCAGAGAGGAAAATGCTCAACTGATTGACATGGCCATGCGTGGCTCTGCTCTGCATTTCCAGGACAGCCTGTACCACGGAACCACTGGCATCCTGTACATGAGTGCTGCCGTCCTACAAGTACATGCCACGATTGTTTCTGAGGGCGTGGACCCGAGAATTTACTACATTAACACGGCAGCCTCGGTGAGTGGGCTGGCCACGGACAGCAGTCTTGGCTAGAAGATGTTTAGTGCAGGAGGTCTAACTCTGCCTTGTGCTGCATAGACCCTGAGCCCTCAAGTGAAGGAGCCACGCGAGCAGGGGAGAGGGATGTGTGTCCCTGTAAACCTGTGCACCCACATTCAGGGGTCCTCTTTTACCTTCTATCGTTCCCACTCCAGCTTTCCTCTCTCTTAGACCCCCAACACTGTCTGCAGAATTTTTTTTTTTCCAAAACACAAATTGGAACAGGTGTCTCTCTCCTACTGAAAATCCTTCAGTGGCACCCACTGCCTTTGGAATGGAGCCCACATCCCTCAGCATGGCTGAACTACTGGGAGAAGAAGAAGCAGGGAAGGGGAAAGTGGAATGCCAAGGTCTCAGGGGAGGGGGCATCAAGGAAGACCCTGTCAAGAGGACAGAAGGAGGCAGGGGCCACCAGGCAGTTACCCCTGCTAAGATCCCACCAGGCAGTTACCCCTGCCAAGGTCCCTCTGTATGCTCAAGGGCAGCCAGGAGGGCGGTGTAGCTGGGACAGCTGACCATGGGTGAACAGCAGGGTGCCATGCTGGGGACAGGCTGGGCCATGGAGGGCTGCAGGGCCCATTGCTGGACTTGCAGGTTTAGGAAGTTAAACTCACCTGATGAGGAGGGAAGGGAGGCAGACAGGCTGGAAGGCAGCTGAAATATCTAGTGGCCACCCCAGAGGGTCACAGTGCACCCCACAGTGTGTGGCGTTTACCTCCATCTAACCCATGTATGTGTTACTCGTCTGTCTTGCTGCTGTCTGCTTCTTATCTCTCACATGTAAGCTCCCTAAGGGCAGGAATTTTTGAGTATTTTCTTCACTGTTATACCCACAGTTGTTCTTGAAGGAAAGCAGGTGCTTAAAAGATATTTGTTGACTGACTGACTGAATGAGGAGCGTGTGAGTGGACAGTGGGGCAGAGTGGGGCTGGGATGTTTGGAAGGGCCGGAAAGGTGAAGGTGACAGGCCCTACCTTGAAAAAAGAGCAGAGCCATCACACAGCTTCAATGTGGGGCAACACGGTCGTGTTCTCCCCATGAGTGAGAAGTGTCCTCACTTGTCCACTTCTGCCTGCCCTGCCTGAATGGTGCAGCAGATTCAAGGGTCAGAGCAGGCAGAAAAGGACAAGTGAGGCCATGAGGAGTCCTGCTGAGGGATGCCGGTGGCTGAGACAAGGGAGAAATGCATGTCCTATGAGCTAGGCAGGGAAATCAGTAGCCTTTGGGGTGGCTTTGCATATAGCTGGCAAGGGAGGCAGGAGGAGTCAGGGGTCACAGGCGTCAGGCTCAGGAAGCGGGGCGAGAGGAGGACCCTGGGGCCCACTGGGCTTGTGAGGCTTGTGAGGAAATGTCAGGGGCTTAGTGTGAGCCAGGAAATGCTGGAGGAGGTCTGAACAGTCACAAGGAGCTGATAAGCAGCCGCTCAGAGCAGAGTTCTGGACCAGCGAGGGGAGCTGTAGGAGTGCTCAGAACACAGGTTTGTTGGAGGTGGGTAGAGAAGAGTGGGCCTCAGGCAGGAGGTCAGTGTGGGATATGGGCCCAGGGCTAGAGTGGAGGTGAACCTGCTTCACAGCCAGGTGCAGGTGAGACAGAGACTGCAGTCAGGGCAGGACACCAGGATGGCCCCAGGGATGCCATGATGGAGAGTTTCCAGGAGAGGGAGTCATTGGCCAGGGGTTGCTGCC